ATTTCCTTTTATTTAAATGTCTATCTGTTTGTTATTACTCTTAATTATTATTCTTAGCACAAACCTATTCCTATTTTAATAAATAAATTTGTCACTATCATCGCCATATTCATCATTTTTATAAATTTGTCATCATAAACCCATCACAATCGTCATAATCGTTACATTTATCATCAACATTATCGTCGTTATCATCATTATCATCATCACCAACATCATCATTATCATCATCATCGACATCATCATCATCAATATTCTCATCACCAGCATCATTATCATCACTATCGTAGTTATCATCATTACCATCATCACCAACATCATCATTATCAAAACTCACTTCGGAGTTGGTGGAAGTCGGTGCTCGGACTGTCCCAAATTGGAGGGGGTGCCACTGCTACTAATCGGTTCAACGCTGATGTTGCTACTACTACTACCACTGCTACTGATACCATAACCACTACTACTACTAGCACCGATACTTTCGCTGACGTCACAAGCCTCGCCTCTGGTTACGGTAATAGTACCATAGGTGACACGGCCTTTATTATTATTATCGTTATTTTTGTCTTTTTCTTCGTCTTCATTATTATTATTATTCTTTTTATTCTTATTGTTGTTATTGTTGTTTTTCTTGTCATCATCTGGATTTATTACGTCGTCAGAACTCATCTTACGATGCCGACAAACTATAACGAGCAGGCAAACAACCACAGAACTCAAAATATATATCTTATTTCAAATTACCGAGAGTATTCGCGACGAGTACCGACCAGTAAGAAAATACCGAAAGTAATTACTGAAAACTTAAAATTTTAACTTTAATTACAACGATAATTATCAGAAAAATGTGTCTGAGTATTTTTATTTTACTAACTGCAGGATAGTACCACACAATTATTATTATTATTGTTGTTGTTTAAATATTATTATTATTATTATTAAAATTAATAATACCAAAAACACCACAGCCCAGTAAAATCAGTAAAATGTGTAAATTTACTTTAAAATGTGAGTGTGTGTAAATTTACCTCAATATTAACTGTCACTAGTACTACAAACATTTAATTAACTCAATTGATAACTTAATTACTACGTGAAAATTTACCTCAATATTAACTGTCACTAGTACTACAAACATTTAATTAACTCAATTGATAACTTAATTACTACGTGAAAAGGCTTACAAAGCAAAACAGAATCGTTCACACTATTATTTAATCTATAATGAATATAAATCTAATAACTTATGGTAGCTGTAACAGCAGTAGTAATTGAGTAATTTAGTAGCAGTATTTAAACTAAAACTACATTTAGAAAATCTAAATTTAAAAGTAAGCACATTACATCAAATTTGTCCTTTAAATGCCTAGATGCGTTAAAATATCCTTACGTAAGCACGTTCGATTCGCTCTTGCATTTTGGGCTCAAGTGGCTAGCTTCATGAGCTCGCTATGAGCCT